TCGGGTCGTTGTTGGCCAGGTTAGCAACTACCTGTTTTGCCTGCCCTGCCCTGCCCACACGCAAACACAGTTCTGGCGAGCGCGCGGCCCGCAGCAGCAGCATCATCGCCACCTTACCCCTTGTCCTAGGCTAATGGTCCCGTACATGGTCAGCCAGTGAATATAGCGATAGGTAACGTATTGGTGACCCGGCGCCCAGCTTACGCGTTAAGCCAACTACGAGAGCTCGCCACTTCGTCAGCACGCCAAATATATTATATATTTCCATGGTGATTCGATTGCTGCTTTATCAGGGACCCTGTATCTGTTGAATCGTGGAGATGTCTATCATGATGATGGCGTTGTCGATCCGGTGGTCGATGATTTATAAAGGTGTAGGCCTGCCATAGAGTTGATTTGGCTGTCTATCCAGCAGGTAGCGCGCTACCTGTTGCTATTATCTGCCAGCTCTGACAGTGTAGCCACTGGAGTTTCCGATGCATTGCGCACCTATAATCTATGTTTGCTGTATTAGTATTACTGTTGCTATTACTGGAACAGCGACTAATGTTACTAGATGCCGTGCGGCGTTGCCTTGTCAAGCAGCATGGTCGGATGGCCTACAATCATTTGTCGAACCACCTCTACTCCAGTCTGTCCTTCTAAAAACATATCATCGCAGCGGGAATCCTGATGGCGTCGAGAGTAACCATCCGCAACAACGCCCACTACTCTATCGTTGGCTCAGTCGACGGGTCCTTCGCTGCTCGCTCGAACGAGGATAACAGCGATCGGCAACTGACTAAGGACAAGACAGCTGCTGACAATCGTGGCAACGCAGATAAAGAAGCAAAAGATCACTACTGCACACTTCAAAAATCCGTTCCTGTCAATCTCCATCTTCGCTCTTTTCTCGATTTAGTATTCTATTCAAAGTCAGCTCAGTTTCAGCTGGTACCAGTGGTTCTACGTATGTTCTGCATTCTTAAACACTCCAACACTCTCCGATCCGTCGGTGGCTCAACGACCGCCGCCGTGTTCGCTTGGACGGTCCGTCTTTCTGTCGGTCGACACAGTTTCTCCCAACGCTCTCATAGTTTATCCCTCCTTCTACCGGTCCATAAACAGGTTACTTGCCCGCGGTTTCTGGCACACGCTGCCGTTGCCGCCGCCACCGCTGCCATCACTGTTCGCTTGCTCGCTGCCGGAACGATGATGCGATTGGTCTTCAAGCCAGCCTCAGCAACCAGCAGCTCCCTTCGGCCGCAAGTCAGGAGCCAGCATGACTCGCCCAGCAACCAACGCGTCGGAGCGCTGATAACGGCAATGGCTGCGGCGGCAGTGGAAGCAGCCATCGCTGCCGATTGTGAGCAAGCGCCAAAGTCGCTGAAGTCACTGCCATTTTAGTGGAGCGACTGTTTTTCTTCTTCGGTTTCTGCTGCTGCTGCCGCGGCCGTCGCTTTTCCTTGTGCAGCAGCAGGAGCAGTAGTGGCGAACAAACAACAATGGCTTGCCGTGGCAGAGCACGGCGGAGCGCCACTTGTGGCGAGCGTCGACTCGAGAGCTCAAAGAACGAACGAAGTCAACTCGCTTTCTTCGTTCGCCCATATAGACGAACAAAATTAGGTTGAAGGAGCAAATAACTCGCTGACGCTGGTTGAAGGAAGAAGCTGAAAGCTGCTAAAAGTATCTGAAGTATCCGTGATGCTGCTGGCTATAGTCCGCTTTCTACTCCACGATGTTGTCAACGGAACGGAAGTATCATTGATAAATGCCCTCGAGAGCGCGGTTTCCCCCAGGAGGTTGTACGAAAATTAAAACGTGTGGCAGGCAAGATGGTTTAGTCCGTGCACTTGTGATATATCCCGGACGCCTTTGTCGCTCTGCCTCATTCGAACGCACTCTTTAAGTGTAAGCAAATGCTTGCGTCTCACCCTTTGCCGTCGTTTTGTCGGTGTATACGTTTGTTTGAGTGTATTTGGCGCTCAATTACAGCCTTTTCCCAATGCCCTTCTATTTAATTTGTTGGATCTCTGTTTTTCATGCGGCGTTTTGACAGCTTTTTCAACGAACGGTAGCTCAGCTTCGCAATATCCTCTTACTGTCGCCCTCCGATTTCGAGTGATTAGGTGCTGACTCGATGAGGCCTGCTCCGTTCAGCCGTCCTACGAACGCAACGGCGCAGTTTCGAGTAACACAATAATAGCTGTAAAAGTAACAGCTTGGTGCTACGGACTACTGCAGTAGCAGCACTTAAGAACGATGAGTAACAAAAACTTCAGTAGAGAGGACAACAGCAAGCAGAAAGTCGGAAGCCGGATATTGGGTCCGCGTGCCTGTCTGCGAGTCGGCAGCTTCAGCGACGAATCGCAGCATCGAGTTCCGTCGTCTTCGAGATGATGATCAGAGGGAACAGACCAATGGGCCACTGTGAATACGACAACGCCAGTGGTTGCGGCAGCTGCGACGTCACCGCAGAGTTGGCTTTCGTCTCACCTGTCGTATCCCCCCTTTTAATGCTGATGCCGTCCGCTTGCTCCACCACTCTATAGTGGTGGCCTAGCGCCGCGCTCAAAGACGCCAACAGTAACGCTACCGGTTGCTGGTTGTCTCAGCGACGGCGATTCGACGAGCGAACAAGTGAGCGCCGTCGAGCGACATCGAGCGAAGAGTAGGAGCAAGCCAAAACAAAAAAGGAAGTCAGGCAGGAGCGGACGTCATCTTGGATCCCAGAATTCACTGTACTATACGTGGTGCTGAACACAGCACAGCACACACTCACACACACACACACGCACATACGGAGGAATAAATAGATATGTGTGGTGGTCCTAGAGGATCCGTGTGTCGCTACTCGCATAATATACTATATGCATTGGCACGACTGACCCGGCTGCAGAGTGTTTTGGAGCCACTGGCATTGGCTAAGCCGAGCTGGTCTGGTCGTCAGCGATACAGCAAGGGGCTAGCCAAAGAATAGAGATGAAGAGCGATGGTTGCTTGCCACTGAGAAATCGGCTCGACAACCACCGAGCGAACGAGGCCTTCTCGATGGTCGATGTCAAAAGGTGGCCCTGAGACGTTCCAAGAGAAACACGAATAAGGCTGAACTGAACAAAGCTGATTTGAGCATGGCAGAACAGAACTAAACTTTCTGATCTGGGCTGTTCGGCGGCAGGCACGCAGTCAGGCCCCACTATCGGCACAGTGTCGCCGTCGGCTGACGTAAAGCTTGCCTTGCGAACATAACTAGCTAGAATACAGTACACAGAACATTTAGACAAACACACATACGTCGAGAGAAATACGCACAATCTCACACAGATAATATCGATTCATCAGACATCTGTATATCAGTTTGCATTTGTAAGTGGATATACGTGAGAACAGAGCTGTGTACGGACCGAATAAAAAACGAAACATCGTAGTCGCCATTGCTACTACTGCCTCTGGCGTACAAGCTATACTGCAGTGACAAACCAGCACAGCTATTGTGCGTATGCACAGTGTACAGTATAACAAGTGTTGTGAAGCGAACGAGCCACCCCAACTGGGCTACTACCAGACGCGTGTAAGATCTGGCTGACAGATAATGGCAAATTGCGTATCAGAAAACATTTTAGCGTTGATGTCGTTTTTACTTAAATACTAGACAGAAACATTGTCATTAACCTCATACAATATATGTATATATATATATATATGAAATCATACGGCAGGCACTATTTCGTACGTGTTATTGCTCAGCAGACTAATTTAATGATAATTATTAAACCATAATTTAAACTCATATTATTTGTAATATGATCTAAACCTATGCTAATATTCAAATCGTAAATGAAGTTTATGTTTGTATTAAATAGATTTTTATCTGGGAATACACGACAGGAACCAACGGCGAGGAGCAAACGAAAATATAGTAAAAAGGAATGAAGTGAAGTGCGGTATGTTGTCAGCTGGGCAATATGGCGATGACCAAAGTGGGCCGGCATCAATATTGACTTTTCTTTGCGGAAGACATTTCTGGTGTGTGCCAAGTCTAGTACTGTTATAACGGCGTCTATAGGATCAACATACAGCGACGTAATTGAGATACTCGGACGGGCTGTAATGGATTATTTTTGATACGCTCTCATCGAACGCAATGACCCAACTATAATGTAGCGTATTCTCTCGTGTTCCGAACAGGAAGTCAAATAGAAAAAAAAAAAAAAATATATATATATATATATATTTTTTTTTTTTTTTGTTTCGTATTTGAAACTAGTATATTATGACGAGTGCTTCTTTTTAATGTGAAAAAATATATACTATGGTGCGCTTTACTCCAAACGACACTCAAGGAGATTTGGTTCACCCTAAGACTGTTCGCTTCTAATAATAAGGCTAATATCATTCTCGAAAGAAAGGCCTTCACTCTTCGCAGGCGCGTTTGATGTCTGGAGGGCAGACGAGAACAGCCTTCGGGAGCTCTCTGGGGGCTGAACTTGGTCATTTGTGGTCGCGGTACACTCAGTTCCTTTAGTTCGTTTCTCGAATCTTGAGAGAGAGTTTTTTTTTGTCTAGTAGCGGTCAGTTCTGGAGCACTTCTGAGCTACCCATTCGACCTGCAATTATTGAAGATGGTCGATCTTTTAGACTATGAGCGGTGTCTACACTCCCCAGCTGACTTCCCGGATTTAGCCGTATCGCCCCTTCCACGGTCGTTCGTGCTATCTCCTTTTAGCCTGCCTGCCTGCCTCGCATTGGCTTACGCTCAGTTGCTGTGGTCGACTTTGGTCGATCGGTCCATCTCGTGATGACTCGTCTTTCTGTCCATCCTTCTTTTAGAGTTCTCTTCAGGTATTTCACTCGTTCGACTGCTCGCTTGGCCTTTACCGTACTTCAGTGGGTTAAAGAGACACGATGATGCGTCTTCGCGTTGTTCTTTATTCTGCACAAACGCTGTAACCTTCGTCTATCAGGCTCCCGCCGTCTCCGATACAACTTAACTTACCTCTCGTGTTGTTTTCTGATTTCAGGGAAGAAAAAAAATCCTCGAGTAAGAGAGAGAACGAGAATTCGAACATAGACCATCTTCTCTTAATGCTGTGTCCCCATAGCGTTGTACGACTGTGTCAATTCTGTCGTGTGTCCGTACGCCAAGCCGAGGATGCCGAAGATCGGCAAAGACGGAGTTTGTGTCGTTTCTGCTGACGTCTGCCGCAGATGTCGCATTCACCTGGTGTCGCCAGGCTTCGAATAGCACCGTCTCGTACTGCTTTCATCTATTCCTTACTGAGGCTCTGATCAAGCGTCGAACATGAGATGGACCAAAAGCGACCTGAAATCGCTGAAGAAGTTAAGGACCTGAAGGACTCATTAACGTAAAGACGTCGGCGATGACTACGACACTCCGACGAGACTGAACAGAGAGAATACAGACACTCAGCGAAGAATCTCTAAGATTATCACATGTTCAGTTGTTGAATTCGTTCTGCAGGGCGAAGTCGCGCACCATATCCAGAACTTAACAGATACAGACACGCATAAGCACACACACGTGATGCTCTTTCTATCTATTACTATTGAGTAGCATATTTACTTTTGCTTGCTATTTTTACAGAAGAGCATCGAAGCGAGCCAAACCAAAGACGAGCTGTTCGTGTCTACGGGAAAGTGTAACAATATCTTTTTTCTCTGACTGTTCCTGTTTTCTGCTTTGTTGTTGCTTTTTTTCAGTGTCAGTTTCTACTTCTTTTCATTCACTTCTTTCAGATCGAGTGTGACCAGATTTAATCATCATCAATATTTTCGCCATTGCCGATTATAGACAGCAATCGAAGCCGTCAAGCGCGCCATTGCCGAACAACTGCTGCTCCTTTTAAAGATCTAGCTCCTCCATGCATGCACAACATAATAACAAACGAGAGAATCTTTATCTTACACCTTTTCTATTTTCATACTACCACTCACTCCACTTTATTTCACATGCACCGCCGCGTACAGCTCGAGACGCAGCGCTGACCCTCTCCTATACAAACGACTTCAACTAACTTCATTCGATCATCATCAACGTACGCTTTGCACAATGTCTGAATTACTTACGGTACTGGCCTCATTACTTGCAGACGTGAATGCCAACTACCTATGGCCGGCAGCTTTGGCCGCTTTCCAGAATGCCTCGGGCCAACGGTCCGAGAGTCCTGAACCCGGAAACAACTTCAGCCCTACCCCAAACCCGGCGCCCATCCCGCCACAGGGACGCCGTCGGATGACCCAGCAGAACCCGAATTCGCCCAACAAGCGTCGTGGCCGCTACCAGTGCGGCTATTGCAATTTCCTCGGCGTAACACCATCTCATATGAAGCGACACATTCTAATTCACACGGGCGAACGTCCATTCGAGTGTCCGCTTTGCCCGCGCAGATTCACCCAGAAAGTCCACCTGAAATATCACATGAACAAGACCCACAAATTGCCCGGCATCCCTGGCGACAATAATTCATCACCTCTGCCTGTTGGCCAGGGTTCACCAGGCTCTGGCGAGGAAGGCATCGCACCAGTCGGGGGCATCAGCGCCCACGATGACGATGTCGATGATGTAACCGTTATCGACGACGGCCCCGAGCCAGTCAACCCATCCTCGCTTTTACACACGGAAATGACAGCATGAGCGTAGTAACGATTCAATTACTCCTCAATATCCCCCTCAGTTCACTTCATATCCCCAGCCAATCACTACTCAGTGCTAAGAAGTGACCGTTTGACTGTCCTTAATGCCAATATTGTTGGACATAACAGCCACGCATAACACGTCACATACTGCCATCGTCATCCCGAGTTACACTCATTTATTCACCCATACGCCTGTCTGATACGGATGTAGACATTTTGAGTCGTTAGATCGTATCGTCCCTTGCCGTATCGAGAAAGAAACATTTGCGACATTATATAGGTGTATGGTAGTCGTGAATGTTCTTTTCGTTGTTGAAACACGGAAACCCACGAAAACGTGAGTCGCGCTATCGCTAATAACCTATATACATACACTGGTGTTGACGTATGTCGCTGCGACAAATGATTTTTTATTGTTAGCAGTCCGACATAGTCCAAAGTAGAATAATAACTATTAGTAATTGTATTGAAGCAATAATTATCACAGTCTCTAATCCCTTGCCTCCCTGCGTCCTCAGCACTTCGTGTTCAATTTTTGTTTTCGCCGAAGACCATCGAGCGAGTTGTGTTGTCACATTGAGAGCATTTTCAAGAGGCCCAGAGGTCCCCGAAAACTTCCCTGTCCGAACTGTATTCCTGAGCAGGTAAATGATATAGAAAAAAAAATATGATATTCATACATATTCGAAGTGTCCAGTCTGTAATTTACGCAGTCTATATATAATAGAAAAGAGTGATCATTGACCATGGTTGTATAAAGTCGAGGAAAGCAAACCTTACACATGAACATGTGTTTAGGAAATGCCGATGCTTCAGTGATGCACAAGATTTTCCTTATTTGACCGGGAAGCCATCAGGGTCCCGCGGGCCTTGTGCTTTGTATATTTGTTCGCTGAATCTCACTGTGTAAAAATTTTGCTAAAAATATATCGTATTATAATATAGACCAAGCTATATTGTTGCAGATAATGAATAATGTTTTAGCATTTTTTCTATTATGATTGTCGTCGTATTATGACATAGATATTATTTTTGTAAGTGTTTTTATTGAAAGAAAAAAAAATTAAAAATGTTTGTAATTGTTCGTGTAATCATGCACCCGTGACGTGTTTACGATCCATCTAAACGCACTTCTTAATCTTTTACCAAACTATACGATTATACAGTTCTTGTTTATACTGTATTGTGACGACGTATAGCCACGGTGAACGCGATTCACTTTTTCAGTTTCTACCTTATACCTTACGACTATATATATATATATATATATATATATATATATGTATGTGTATATATATACGTAGCGCCATGTACCACCTGTTATGTATTAGCTGTTGAGATGTAATAAAAACATACTAGCTCATATCTGGTACAGTCATTCACGCCGCGCCATCGATCGCCTTGTAGCGGATGCGACGCATGTTGCCCGCGCGATAAATTGGGCCACTCTGCAAAATCCCACCAACTCGAACAACAACAACAACAACAACAACAACAACACAGAAAGGGCCTCAAAGAAAAACTGCGATTTGGGCTGACCCATGTTTGATCATGGTCATACGAGTCGAAAGAAAGAGAGCGTAGGAATAAAAAGGTAATTACATCCAGTTGACATTCAGATCGACATATCTACACACTCGATTTTTATCCTATATTAATAATAACATAACGATCACGTATGTTGTTCTCACTGCAAACAAAAATCGTTTGTAGAGATACTGAAGGTTAGGAGAGTCCAGGCATTTTTCGCGGGTCTCGACGAAGCCTTTCGCACACGCTCTGACGGTGTTTCAAATGTGAGAGAAAATCCGTTTGTTTGAACAGCGTCACCGTCAAGGAGAACAACAACAACAACAACACTAAATGAATGTTTTCATTAATATTTCTATACTTAATATTTATTCTTGCCTTTACCGTTCCATTTTGTGCCGTCCACCGCTGTATTTAAGCGTTGGCGCCTCCATACCGCCATCATTCCAGGGACACCGAGGTCCCAACAACCTGTTGTACAAGTTATCCTTCATGTCATAACCCTTGAGGGATTGTATATGTGTGTGTGTGTGTGCTGCACACAATTTGTGCACAGAATACGTGCCTTGTGATGCCTCGAGCAAATAATCAAACAGAGTCACCTAACAATCATACATCTTATATAGACATCCCAGATAGCCTTTAATCACAGAATGAAACGTAATTCAATTCAAATTCAACTATTAAGATGATTATTGTTGGAGTCAGCGAAAATTAAAAATGAGCAGACGAAAAGCCTATCGCTACGAAGATCATGGTTCATTTAGATGACGATAATTATATATATATATATATATATATATATATATTATTACCAATATTATATCCCGCTATCAGTTTCCTGTGAAGAGTGTTTTGTGTCTAGCCGAAGACGACGATTTTCGCGACGGATACGCGACTCGTTTTTTTTTTTTTTTTTTTTTTAATTTCTGGGACGATTTCGCTAGCGGGTAGCGCGTGGCATTGTCTGTCCTACTCCGAGAACCCGTGAGCCGTTCTATATTTTGGTCGAAATCCGTCGCGGAAATCTGCCCGGAACAACTTGAACAAGCGAATTCTGTTAGTTGAAAAGACCGTTGATTGCAAACCGCAAAAGTTGAAGTATATCACGTAATGTAATTAAGATGCTCCGGGCACACTTGTTGTTTGCTAGCTTCTATTCTTGTAGGTAGTCCAGTAGAACTGTTAGGTACGAGTAGTTTATTTAGGCGTTGTTAGAGGGACCACATGCGGTGTTGAAAGCAGGTGTTCTCTCGCTATCAAAACCCAGTGTTGTTATCCTCGTATGCCGAACTGAATATAGTGGTGCTAAAGATACGCTAGAGTATACGCAAGATGAAAATGTTTGTCGGAAACGGTGAGCAGACAAACGACAAGCAGTATATTAACTAATGATAGTGGTTATTACCACTATTATTGGATACACTTACATAAAAGAAAGAATATAAATGAACAAGTATATAAAGAGTGCGCAAGGAACAGAACGAGTACGAAGAGTAAGTGCGAATAACCCACGAACGCGAGAAGAAGTCTGATAGAACAAAAAAAATTAAAAGATAGTTGAATTATAAAAAGTAAGTAAGGATGATATTATTAATGAAAATTGATAGAATATGTAAAATACTCTGTGTATAAATCGTTGCTCTAATCTTCTATATCCCATGCAACTGGCTGCCTTTTCTGCTTTTCTTTTCATTGTCGTCTAGTGATTCCAATCATATTGTGCTAAGAGCGCTATTTTGTCTCTCCGGTGATAAAAGGTAAATGTTACATACTTAATTTCTTGCAACCGCTATATAACTATTCATTTGAAGTTTTTCCCCACGCTGTCAATGAAGATATATGAAAATGCACATAGTCCAGACACACAGAAGAGTGGCACAAGCAGAAACAAAAGTAAAAATATACACACACACACACAAACACACACGGACACACACACATACATACATACACACACAAGTACTTATATTAAAGAAAAATAGGTAGGCCACGCTGTCTGTGAGCGTTCTTTCGTTTTGACAAATGCTTTGGTGGTCACCACGCGTCTATTTGTTGGTCTGTCACTCTCATAGATGCTTCTCCTCTGTACACTTGGTCTCGGCTTAGTTCATCCCTTTCGTCGTATCTACGATCATTATCTCCGTTCAGAATTTTTCGGAGGCATAGAACTGAAGACATACACAGTAATACATAAACATACACAGTAATAAACACAACAGCTCGACAACATACTGTGTAAATAATATTATTATTAAATGATTCATTACAATTTTTACTATATATGTGCGATATACTGACAGCCAGAATGCAAAATATACGCGTGTAATGTGTACTATTGTGAAATGATGAAACAGATCACTGATTCCAGATGGATATGCGTATCTATTGGATATGAATAGTAAAATGATAAAAAGTACAATAAAAAGCAACATGTGTCGATAACATGTGTCTCAAAAATAAAGATTTATTATTTCATAATTTATTAATGGCGACTGTGTATTTCATTAGCAGAGTTTCTGGGGCTGGTTGAGAAAATAGCTTGAGTAGAAAAGAAATCATTGAAAAACTATAAAGAAACATTATTTGCCAGTGGATTTAATATGCTCACACGATATTCAGTACGAAGCGATGAACTTCGGTAGTAGTATATTAGGGAGGGTGGGCGTTGGCTTTGAGAGCAAATTTTAGTTAGCCAGCTATAGGTATCAGTCATTCGCTGAAATATTTAGTAAACACTAAGTTGTTGAACAAACACCTGGAGTTTCTTGCCTCCTACAGGTTCATCAGGCTTAACTTTCTTCTTTAGGTTTCAGCAACGATAAGCTATTGAATACGCTGTTCCATGTTACGTATAACGGAGGATTCGAGCACCCAAGCGTTCGAAACGTAGCGCACAAAAATAGGTGTAGTTCTTTCTATAAAACATTATCAAATCGCCCATTTACTATTTAGTATTTTTCTTACAGGTAACCGTCACAAGGAATCGCTGCAAGCCGCGCTGTTGTCCGCTGTGAAGTGTCGCCTATGTTTCTCTATGTTTTTTCTGCATCTTTTTTTTTTTTTTTTTTTTTTTTTTTTTTTTTGTAGCTTTTCGTTCTTCAGGTGTTTGTAGATCGAACACGACCAGACCTAAATGTCGCTTGGCTCTGGTCGTTTACAGTTGAAGACGCGCAGAGTTGTTCCGCACTCCACTGTCGAACTCTTGCCCTCTTTCGGAACACTACCTATTTACTCTGTTTCTTTGCATGCATATAACAAAATAAAAGACAACTTGAATCATGTACCTTTCTACCTATCTTACATTGACTAGTCTTCGCCTAATTGCTACGGCAGTGTTCAGCTTGAAACACTTTTCCGCCTCTTTCCTTATCAACTTCTACGACCAACATGCTGGTTTTAATGCCTCAGAGTCACTTACAGCGGTACACTTATTTTTTGCAGACGTTAATGCGAACTATTTATGGCCAGCCGCCCTAGCCGCGTTCCAGAATGCCTCAGGACAACGGTCCGAGAGTCCAGAACCTGGAGAGAATTTCAGCCGGACCGCAAGCCCCACCCTGATGCCACCACCGCGACGTCGTGTAACCCAGCAAGATCCAAACTCGCCAAATAAACGTCGTGGCCGCTATCAGTGTAGCTTCTGCAACTTCCTTGGCGTAACGCCATCGCACATAAAACGTCACATTCTAACTCATACTGGCGAACGTCCATTTGAGTGCCCGCTTTGTCCACGCCGCTTCACTCAGAAAGTCCACCTGAAATACCATATAAATAAAACCCACAAAATGGGGTCCGCAGAAGAGATTTCACCGGTTGGAGACATCAGTGCTGCTGACGATGATGTCGATGAGCTAACCATTATAGATGATACCCCCAAACGCGTCAAGCCGTCCTCGCTTTTGCGCACAAAGATGACGGCGTAAACAAAAGGCGATTGCCCTTTTTCTTTTAACCTGAATATAATCGGCTGCAGTTACCGATTGTCCCCCAGTAACAACCTGACAGTGCGGGTGGTCAACCAAGTTCAAGTTGCCAGACCTGACAACTACACAGCACGTAATTAATAGCCACTCTCATCGCATTCTACATTCACTCGTATACATATATAGCGTAATGTCTCATATTTTGATTCGTTACTGTGTGCCTCTACGCGTGACTTAACGTGATCAAGGGTATCGTCACAACAAATTTAACCGTCATCGACACGGAATGTGATCGTTCGTCCCTTTTTCCCGATGATGCTTGCTTGCTTGCTTAGTTTGTACTTTTGGTTTTTGTATAAGAACATCGAGCCAATTTTATTGTTTCATTGCCTATCTGGCTATAAAACTGGTTCTCTCTTTCTCTGTAACAGTCCTAAGAAGGCCGATTCTGCTGGAAAAATGCAGTTTACTTTAATTTTGGGGAAGGACACGTGACCTTTTGTTCGAGAAGTTATTAGGGTCCCAAAAGCTTTGTGCTTTGTACATTTATTAGCTGAATCTCACTGTAAATTTATTTCAGACACTTGATATACTATAAATATCTCATACATAAAAAGTGACGTATGAGCGTACTATTGTTCTAGTTGTCGTCACGTCATATCTGTTTGGGTGACTTTTGTCCATACGTGCTTTAAAGCACAACTTTACCGATTTTTGTGGTCACATACCAGTATTGCGCCAGGCATTTACAACACACGCCATATTTCACTAAACTCTACAACTATACAGCTAATTACCGCTGTTTAGACGTACACGTAAAAGGATATTCATTTATAGGAGCTATTATTTAACCCTTAACACTCTTATTTTTTGCCTAGACGATCCCATAAACATTGTTGGCGAATCGCTGGCGACTCCATGCTGTTATCATTCCAAGAGCCTCGTGGTGCATTCATTATCAAACGAGCTCATTCGTCCTTATATATAAATGGCGTTTTTACCAGCTTCCATCTACAAATCGAAGTCAACAAGAGGGGTCAATTTTAAGTAAACTTTTTTGACAGATCGCTTGGGCGAACGGACGTGAAGCAACCTCTTATAGAAGCTACACGTGTGTCCGTAACGGATCCAACAACAATATTGATAATATTGAATGCAATTACTTAGAGAAAT